GGGGGGGGGGGTGGTGGGCGGAAGTGTTTATATAATCAGCCAGGGTTTCCATACGGGTCATGCACCTATTTCATGCACTTCCTAGCTGAGATCCCCAGCAATAGTATTGTGGTAACTGGTTTGAACAAAACGTTAGGACTGATGCTGTCTTTCTTGATCTACCTAATTGATAAGGGCCGGGTTTAACTACTCGAAGAACACGTAAATCTATTTCCATCCCATTGGTCTACTTCAAAATAAAATCTGATCGACTTTTTGGCATCTTCTTAGGAACATGTCTGGATATGATCAACGATTACACTTGTATCTGTCCAGCTGGTTTTACTGGAGTGAGATGCGAAGAGAACATCAACGAGTGCCTTTCTTCTCCCTGTGACAACGGTATGTTAATGTGTACTCCCCTCTCAAGATATTATTTATATTCTACAATATAAATTTAAATCTCCGTTTATAGACTCGCATAAGACATTGTCATTAGTACTTCTATACACTTATCAAAACTTCAACTTAGATAGCTGTACTAATTATATCTGAAGATGACAGAAGCAGTCCATCAAAGCATTCCTTTTAAAATTAAACTTCTTTTCCTAAATTCAAATATTGCCATCTGCTGTTTAGACCGATTAAGGTATACAGTTCGGAAATAAGTGTTTGAAACATGCATCGATGCATTGCCATCCATATAATTACATTGCGCGCCCCCGCTTGCACACTCAGGGGAAGGGGTATGTTTTATTTCAAAGAAGGTTGGTAAGGTTAATGTTGTCCATTCCACGCCAGCATGTCTTTCTATTTAGCTTTCCTTACAAACAGAATGAACAAAAACGTATATATTGTTTTGTCTGTGTCGTTCGTCAGTAACAAAAAGAACCTCGTCTTTTCATTAGGAACTTGCACTGACCACGTCGATAACTACACGTGCAACTGCCACGTGGGTTTTACTGGTCCGCACTGTGACATTAAAATCGCAGACTGTACCATTGACTCCTGCTACCCCAAAGTGACCTGCTTCAAAAACAGCGACACAATTAGCTGTGGTCCGTGCCCACTTGGATTCAGTGGTGATGGAAAGAATTGTGAAGGTGATTACAAGAATAAGAAAATTGGAAACATAATGTGATAATGTTCAGGCCTGTTAAATGCATGTCAAAAAGACGTCGTAATGAATGCTTTTAAGTCTAACCTCTAGAAGCACTGCATTAAGCTGATTTTGTGATGCTGTTGTTTTGTCGTTGTTATGTTGGTTTCGGTTTCAGCTTTGACTTTTATTTCGCTTTTGCTTGCCTGGTTTTGTTTGTTACATATTTGCCCTTTCATTTCGTTTCCCTCTCTGTATTGCTGAACGTCATATTGTAATTGACAAATATCTTATAGCACACAAAAAGACGGAAAGGGTTTCACATTTGTTTAATGGAAGTATACAAAGGAGAAAGAACATTTTTAATTGAATCAACTAATTTCTAATAAATGAACTGAGCCTACCTGGTTAGGAGTATAGCCAACAACCTCTAGTGAGTCCAGGCGAGGATATTTTCAGTAAGGGACTGGCAAAATGAGCGCATCGCATCTTAAGCGTCACGTGAACAGTTACGTTGCTGAGCAACTACAAGCTATTATTTTCAATGCCTGTCTTGAAAGCTGATACATCAATCTACGAAGAACACCATTCAAAGATCCCAACACATTCCAGCAGCTTAGAATAAATGGGGCTTCAAAACTATCGACAGACAAAACAACTTTTCACTTGAGTATGATGATGACTCCGGTCTCCTAAAAACTACAGTCATCAGCACCAGTCCTATCCAGACGTGGACTAGCCCTAACGACGTACTAGCTATTTCTGCAATAGAATTCTACGTATTTCTAGAGCGTATTGCCAATGAAATTAGTATTAGCAGTTTCTCATTTCCGGAATGACTGGAGCGCCTTATCGTTCACTGATATCAGATCGAATTATAATTTAGAATGTTGGACAAACAAAGGATCGCAGTGATTTTTCCATGATAAAGTGACTTAAGACTGTCATCTCAGGCGCATACCTTATCGTGAGTCTAGTGACTTCGTATTGTCTTTTAATTTAGTTATTTATTTATTACTTTTTCCTTGTCAGACATTGACTATTGTGTTAATCACGCATGTAGTAATGGCGGATCGTGTGTGGATGGTATCAGCAACTACTCATGTAGCTGCCCGGCAGGATTTACGGGTGATCATTGTGAAACGGGTAGGCTGACGTTCATCTGACTTGAATCGTTATATAAAGGGATCTTAAGCAAAGACGTTTCTGAGAGACGGACGTGACCCGAGACGAGAATT